AGTAGGCATGCATCCAAAAACAATTCATAAAACCCATGACTTTCAAAGCCTAGTATATGGTGAACCATAACTCTTTAACAACATTAAAGAGAAGAAAGTATTTAGAGAATCATTACCCTTGTAGCTCATCCTTGATTACACAAGGGATTCACCCAAGTGGAGGGCCTTCAAGTCACCTCCTTTGCTTCCTTGAGGATTTGAGGATATGTTCTCCAAAACACCAAAAGCTTGATGTCTCCAAGTCTCTACACCAAAGATTAATTGTGAAGATAAAAGTGGATGACTTAGGGGAGAGGAAATTGCTAGATATCCCTCCCTAAGTGGCCGGCCTCCCTTGTTGAAATAGAGAGAATAATTTTTTTTTCTTCTAATTTCATCAAGAAAAACCCCTAACAAAATAAAGTTATAATTTTGAATTTATACTTCATTTCTTGTGAGTGGCAAACTTGTAATTAACACAAGTTTGGTATCCCTCACTATTCATGGCCGGCCTCTCTAAGTGTTTGGGCTAATTGCCCATTTTGTTTTAGTTGTCATACAACTTAAACATAATGGGCCTTGTGGTCTAAAACACTTTTGGACCCCTAAACCCAAAACCAACTTAGAAGTCCAATACGAACGTTTCGTATAATTAATTAACTAATTAATTAACTTTGACCATACTTCAATTAACCATTTAATTGCTTATCCATTTCATTTAATTACCTCACTTTCATCCTTACTCGGTGTACGATCCATTAGGTTCCAATTAGCGAGGCAGTGGGCGATGTTACTCTTAACTATCGATTGTGAATTTAAACCATATTTCAATTCTCCCTTAAGATTAGTGTTTGCTAATCTTTAAGGCTTCCACAAACCATGAGTGACACCTAGCAGCATGTCATGGTTACCCAAGCTAAGTAGAAGTGGTTGGAGAACCTATCCAGTTACAACTACAATGCAATACGGTCCTTCTCTAATACAATACTCTTAATCACATTGTTGAAGTGATAGTTTGTTTCATGTCTACTATCCAATGTGATACTTCCCTATATGATTCGCTTGAATAAGATTTGGAACAAACTTCCTAAGTCATATTCATATGCTTTGGCCAAAGACTCTCGAATCATATCTTAGAGTATTCTCCTTCCACCATGGAAGGTTAGAGATCCCTTGTTGTGCATTCATATGCCTACATGACTAGATAGCTTGACCCCAACCATGCCGTGGACACTCCAAAGGAATGCCATTTGACACGATCAAAGATCAAGGACCTAACCATTAGACATCTATGATGCCTCAGGTCAAAGGACTACTTTGCATATTGTAACCATCGAGTTCTTACATGACATGTATGTTTGAACTCTCTTTTGATCATAGTTCAGTGTACTCGATTACTCTTTCGAGCACCTATGTGTTTGTCTTAGTGTCCAACACTAAATGACTTGAGACTTGTCATATCCATACTTGAGTCGACATAACACATACTAACCTTAGCGGATTGTCAATGCCCAATTGGCAACCCTATGGCTAGGAACATTTTAGGAATGAACATAAGAGAAAGGTCTCGAAAATCTAACTTACTTAGATCACTTATCTCTTAGATCAAATACATTCCTTGGATTCCCTTATTGCTTAAACACAAGATACAATAAATAGTGATTAACAATAAGCTTTGCCCTCCATTAAACATATAAAAGTTTAATACATTAAGTATTCCAAAAAGCTATTACATCAAATGAGTGGCTTTGTAGGCATATTCCAACATTCCTTGCCTTAGAATGCTTCATGTTAAAATATTCTTCCTTATTAGAAGGTGTTCGTCCTTCCCATTCAGATAAATGATAAGGTATTCCTCTATAGGGTGCAAGGAATCCTTCACCATTTGTATAACCACCATCTACAAGGTAATAATAACCTAATAAAAAAAAGACCTTATATTAGTATTTTGTAGTTCACAAACAAAACTAGACCTAACTTACAAAGTTGAGACTAACTAATAATCTTACCCGTTGGTACCTTAAAACCATTAGGCCTAGTAATTGCATCATGTAGCACTCTAGAGTCTGATGCGGAACCCTCCCACCCCAGAAACACATATATGAACTGCATATCTCCTGAACACACACCTAATACATTAGTTGCGACTCGACCCTTTCTAGTTCGGTATCTTGGTTTGTCAATTTCAGGTACATGCACATCAATGTGTGTTCCATCTAATGCTCCCAAGCAATTCTAAAAAAAAAATAAGCTTTTGTTAATTTATACAAAGGGAATGAAGAGTTAAAGCTTAGGGAAAATGAAAATAATTATCAACATACCTTAAAACATCGCCACCTAGGATCTATAGAATCAATAGGCACAGGTTGAGGGACTTTTAGTAGGATACCTTGTAATCGCAAAATTCCTTGCAATACACTATTGAAATACCTACTTATAGTCTCTCCTGACCTATAAAATCTACCACCAACACTACGATTCTTAGTATGATGTGCTAGTATTTGAAAAGTCATACACACCTGCTCCTCTACAGAGACCAAACCATCCGTTTTTACCCTCCCATCTTGACAAAGTAAGTCACATAATATGCCAAAAGTCCTTCTATCCATTCTCAATTCGTTGACACATTCAACATCAGTATTCCCTATTATACCATTCAGATAACACAAACTAATCTCTCGTCTAACAAGTGAACGGTTAGTCAAGGTGCGTCGTTCAACATGTCTCTGTTTTGCCCTTAGCATCAGCAACACAAGAATCGTACAAATGCAAATCGTCTCTAAATGAGACATCTCTAACAATAAGATCAATAAAAGCTTCCTTCGATCCATATCTATCCAAACAAAAAAAAAAGGAAAAAAATATTAAGGACATTATGCTACTGCACGCTTTCCATCTGGCACAAAGAACAAACCAAATAATATAATCCAGCTATGCTATATCAGCTGATAAAACAACATTACCGCAAATATCAAAAGCAAACTGAAACAAGTACAAAATTTCTAGGTATACTTATACCTAGAAAAACAGAAATCATGGAAAAATAGGTAGGGAAATGACAAGTTGCACTTGAACTAATCAATCGTGCAGTGTTTTAGTTTAAAATACAACTTGGGGTGTAGAGAAGAGGGTTTTAAAAAATATGTACGAAAAATCTGAATGAGAGGTTCAAGCAAAACATGTCAAACAAATCTGAATGAGAACTGTCAGATAATATGAAGCAGAAGATTCGAGCAGAATATCAAGTTGTCGGTGGAAGCCCAGATAAGCCTCTGCAGTCTAACTATTTTCTAAATATCATAGTTGTGATTGGTGTTTTGGCAATTTTGTCGTCTTTATTCGGAAACTAAGCTTTGATTTTCTGTTTTTTTGTTTTTTATAAATGAGAATTACATTGCTATTATCGATTTTATATTACATATTCATCCATGATTCGTACAATATCAGTACTTGCACACATTCTTTCTTTCACATCGGAGTAAGTTAAGCTTTTGAGAACAGCATGTCATTGAAAACTCATGTTCAGGTAACGTTGCAAGGTGATGTCCAAACCAGGTTGAACTAAAATTTGTGGTCAGGAGCTGTATCTTTGTCCATTTGTTTTCACCTATGAGGAAATGTATCTGATATTTTGAACATTTCTGAATCTATCAGTGGCTATGATTTATGCATTGTTGGAAGAGATGTTTCTCTTAGTCTAGTTGTGCAACTTCCTTTACTGATATTTGGAAAATGTCTTGAGTTTGAATCTTCATCCCTAGTTTAAAATGGACCAAATTCTTTATCGAGATGACCTGTCCAGAATTAGAAATAAAAATATTAAAGCAATCTGAGCTCTAACCATAGGAGAGTGTATAGCTTATTCCTATTTGAGCCACAGGGTTACAGAAGGCCCATAGTAGAGTGTATAGCTTATTCCTATTTGAGCCATAGCTCCAACCATAGGAGAGTGTATAGCTTATTCCTATCTATGTGTAATTCATTCAGATGAGTCTGCGAAATCCAGAGTCTGCGAAATCCAGAGCTCTTATCAAGAAATGCAGAGCTCTTATCAAGAATCCAATGAGTCTGCGAAATCCAAAGTATGGAAGATTGAACACAAGGACCCCTTTCACGTCTATTGAAAAATGATTGTTTTTAGAAAGTTGCTAACTTGTACAGTTTTACTAGATGATTGGTCGATTTACTCATACAACAATTTATCATATTCACTAAACAAATTAATATAGGAGTACTTGTAAGTTGTATACACGAGTTACCTAGCAAAGGCAATTTTATAACAACAAAGTTGATCCTTAAGCCACTTTGATTTCTTAAGCCGATAACCATTTACCAAAAGTAACATAATTTGCATTCAACAGATGAACATTCATATGGAAATCCAAAATTAAAGCGAACAAATCGAAGCATTATAACTACCAAAACACAAAAGCCAATGTACTTCCGAATCCTAACAACATCAAATTGAACACAAAAGGATGATAAAGTGAAACACTACCCCATTTTCTCAGCTCAATTCTCAACTGCAAAACCCAGTTTCATGTTTCATCTCAATTACATCTGCTTTTGCAGCAGCAAACTCCTAAAATAGGATTTAATCCAAATAAAACCCACATATGATTTCTTAAGCCGATAACCATTTACCAAAAGTAACATAATTTGCATTCAACAGATGAACATTCATATGGAAATCCAAAATTAAAGCGAACAAATCAAAGCATTATAACTACCAAAACACAAAAGCCAATGTACTTCCGAATCCTAACAACATCATAATCAACATACCCAACATGCTAAGCAGGCTACTTCTACCAAGGTTGCAGATTGACAGTGAATTTTAGAGAAGTTTAGATGCTCTAATCAATCTCAATTTGACCTAAAAATCAAAACCCTAATTTGTTCAAGTGCAGAGGTCTAGGATTTAAAATTTCTCAAACCCAAAACAACAAAATCAAATAAAGCTCAGTAATATCACGATCTGCAAAACAAATGACGAAATAAATCGAAGATTCGAAGTTTACCAGACAACTCGGAGCAGATGAGGGCGAGCAGATGCAGATGAGGGAAGACGTAGAGATGAGGGTGAGGAAGACGCAGAGATGAGGGTGAGGAAGACGACGATGAGCGAGGGCAAGCCGACGATGAGGGAGGGCAAGGAGGATGAGCAGGAAGTCACCCTTGCGATTTTCTCTGGGCTTACGAGTCCACCCAATTTCGGGGATCCTGGTTAAGACCTCGTAAGGAGGTGTTTAATCCGAGCGAATCCCACCTAATCTCATTAAACCAAATCCTGCAGCAGACCAAACAAGGGACTATAGTCCAGTCCAGTCCAGTCCTCCTTAATCCTATCAAACAAACGGGCCCTTAGTGTTATCGATGTAATTTGTATATTTTTCTTCTTTTTCTAATTCTGGAAGAACTTGAATTTGTTGCCTTGCATTCCATTCTGACTATCTCTGGTGTTATGCAGACGAAGAGAACCAAGAAGGCGGGTATCGTTGGGAAGTACGGTATGTGCCTTCTTCTTCCTTTTAATTTAATAAAAAAAAACCTTGTTGTGAAATGACAAGTAAGGTGCTATGAGGAAACGGTTTAACTTGTGTGTGCATTCACGCACGCAGGCCAGCAGAGGGTACTTTTCAATGATTATTCTAGTTTTATGCTTATAATGATTGTGAAACTCAGTCATAGTTGAGTTAGAAATTTTTTGGATTTTGAATTGGTGGGTGCTTTGTTATTGGTATGATCAAACGATTATAGTTTTTTGTTCAAAAGGGGGATACATAGGCCTGGATTCACTACCCATGATATTTTTTACATTTAGCATGGATTCAATACCCATGATCTAATGGAAGACATGACACAAAACCGAGAGCAGTGGCGTTCTAGGATTCATATAAGGCTTTGTTGTTGTTGTTGTTGTTGTAGCATGTGTATGTTACAATTGTGGATTACTTATTTTTTATCTATTCAGGCACCCGATATGGTGCTAGTTTGAGGAAGCAAATCAAGAAGATGGAAGTCTCTCAGCACAGCAAGTACTTTTGTGAGTTGTGTGGGAAGGTACTTACTCTACTATGTTGCCCCATCTCTTTTATGATTATTTTCTAGTCTTGTGGTTTTCGTACGGGACTTCAGTTTTGAAGATGCAATTTTTCTAATAAATATGCTTGGTTGCAGTACGCCGTTAAGCGTAAGGCTGTTGGAATATGGGGCTGCAAAGACTGTGGCAAAGTGAAAGCTGGGGGCGCCTTCACGCTGAAGTAAGGACTTTCTGGTGATAGGCTTTGTTTGTCATGCGTCTGACGTTCTACTGAGATTATAATTGTGTTTTATGTTATATTTTGCAGTACTGCTAGTGCTGTGACTGTTAGGAGCACCATCGAAGGCTGAGGGAGCAGACTGAGAGTTAGAGCTGCATTATTCTCGTTTTTGTTGAAACGATCTATCTTTTCTTAAACTTTGATTTATGTTATATACTCGTATGCGGAGCTTTTTTGATGAATCGGAGTAATGGTTACCGAGTAAATGATGTTTGTTTTGGCTAGTTCAGCTTTCTTGTGTTTGTGATATTGCACTCGTATGATTTAATCAAGGTTCTTCGTTCGTGACATGAATGTCACGTTGAGTAATTACCGAATTTGTAGGTATGAAATCCGCACACCTCCTTTCATACAAAATATACGAAGGAACAGATTCTGAGTCGTACGTCGCACTCTTAATGAATAGAAGTGACATCGAAGCGCAATGCCTGCAAAACCCTTCATTGTCATTACCAAAAGTGTAATGCCGCTTGGCGGCCTTACAAGTTCCATGAGTCTTATGCTGGAGTAACTCATTCAAATCAAAAAATGAAAGAGTTTATGCACAGATATCGATTTGGGTGTTGACCGCATGAAATGCTTCTTGCATGTTAGGAGCCGCTTAATTTGACCATCTTGAATCGAGATACATAAGAGTAAATGATTCACTTTGTGCTCCTGTTCATGTACAACAACAATAATAAAACTTTATCCCACTAAGTAGGGTTCATTACATGAATCTTAGAATGCATTGTGCTCGGTTAGATGTTACGTTTTCTGTTAGATCCAAGTAGTCTAAGTCTTTTCTTAGTCTTTTTCCATATCTTCCTAGGTCTTCCTCTACCATTTGATCCTAAGCCTCTGTTTTATAATCGCATATTCTAACCAAAGCATCTGTAGGTCTTTGTTTCACATGTCCAAACCACCTTAACCGATTTTCTCTCATTTTATCTTCAATTTCAGCTACTCCTAATTTACCTCGAATATTCTCATTCTTGATCTTGTCTTTTCTCATGTGCCCACACAACCAACGAAGCATTCTCATATCCACTACACTCATTTTGTGTACATGTTGATGCTTCACTGCCCAACATTTTGTGCCATAAAGCATTGTTGGCCTTATTGCCATCCCTATGAAATTATCTCCTGAGCTTTAATGGCACAATACATCCGATGCATTCTTCCACTTCATTCATCCATCTTGTATTCTATGATTGAGGTCTCCATCCAATTCTATGTTCTTTTACAAGATAGCGAAAGTGTTCGCTCTTTAGTACTTCTTGATCTCTAATCCTCACCCCTAACTCATTTGAATCTCCGCTCCCATTGAACTTGCACTACAAGAAAAAGGCCCTTTAACGACACTTTATTGGCGATAAGAGCACACAATCATCGCAAATTCTCAATAGTATAGCATGCATGGTGTTTGGGATGAAACTTTTGCGACTCTAGTTTAAGTAACGTTGCAAATGATGTATTTGATACGACACCCTTCCAAAAATTTTCATTTAGTGCCTGATTTTTCATTTAGCACGCCCCATGTTTAGAAGAAAGATATTTCACCGTTTTTACTCTTTAGGTAAAGTTAGTGGCTACTTCTCAGTCGAGCGCCGAATTCCAGTGAAGCTATGCTCTGATCACTTGTTGTATGCTCTCTCTCTCTTTGTTTGTTCCCCGAGAAAAGTTTTGATGAATGAAAAATCTGATTCAGCTTCTTGCGTTTTCTCACTAACCAAACAGAAATATCGCTCAGTGTTCATAATTACGGAATGGTCTTTGAGTTCTCTTTGTAAATGAAGTTTTGATTTCTCTTTTTGGTGCCAGTGCATCTGATTATGATTTACAGTGTGAAGGAGTTTTTGGAAGATGGGGTTTATATACCCACTGATGTGAAGGTGAAGCAGATGAAGAGGGCGAAGTTGGACTCTGTGACGGTGCAAAAGAAGTTTAGCAAGGATAGGGATCCGGTGGTAACTGCTTATGAGGTTAGGGATAAACCCTTGGCGTTGAAGGCGGAGGATTAGGACTGGCTTGTGGTGGTTTTCGTCTTGTTGAGATTTTCAATAAGAGCAAGTGGAAACTTTCAGTTTTGAGGTTTTAATTGCATTAAGAAATTGTAGCTTTCTGAGTTTGTTTTAGGTGACTTTTGAAAGCGCATTCTAGTTGTTATGGATTGTGTTGTTTGTGTATGTTGTCTTGTGATGCAGTTATGGGGGTTTTCATACGATTCGAAGATGATAGTGTGGAGTCAGAGCAAAGATTGTGAACCCGTGGAATGTGAAGATCCTCTCGGTTGGTTGGTAGAATTTATTTGATTTAATGTGTTACCAGTAAAAGTTCCACTAAGTTATGCTCGTAGGAAAAATCAAATTAATTTTCTTAATTTGTTGCTGCAATGGAAAAAAAAAAATGGTTCCCTTTCATTTATGCTTGTAGGAAAATCAAAATGATTCAGCTTTCAAGGTCAATGGTTTGTTAGACCCCTGGAACCATTATGCACACAAGTAGTTAATTAGTTACCCCTTCCTTTGTGCTTTAATTATCTTGATTTGTATCGCTACAATGAAATAGGATTGCTGTTATTTACCTGTAAGAATTTCACTGCATCGAATACGTATATTTACCAAAATAAAAAGTAAATGGGAGGGGGATTGCTCATGAATTTCTAAGATTGGTCCTAATTGTATAATGGTTTGCACAAATTGGTTGCCTATGTTGTGAAGCCTACGTACCAAATAATTTTCACACACCGTATCATTATTTAAGATTTGCATAGAAAAAGGAGGACGCACTTGTTATTGCAAGGGGAAACTCTTTTTTGTTAATAGCTTGTCTTATATGAAAGTGTTCTCTCATGGTTTTGTCGCATATCTTGTGCTTCTGACTGCAGATTCCTTGTTTGCAGTGATATGCCTCTCAAAGTGCTTCCCAAGTTAATTGGGGTTCAACTTGTTAACTTTCATATTCAATTGTATTTCAAGAACACTGCACCTCCCTTTGGTAAGCAGAGTTGCAAATTTTTCTTTTTGTTTCCCAAATTATTTGCCTACCTTGTGTTTGTAATAACCTCAATTCTTGCACTGTTGCAGAGGCTTTGATGTATGAGTTTGATGAGGAGAATAAGGGTGACAATGGAGATCTTCACACAACCTACACTTGACAAAGGGAAAGGAGACGACTTTGAATCATTAATGTGTTACCTAGTAAGAGTTCCATTGAATTAGATACTTTTAATTCCCAGTCAATAGGTGGACATACCTCTGTTTTAATTTGAGCCACTATGCAGAGGACTAAGAGTAGAGCTGCTGTAAGGAGTGACATAATTACTCGCAGGGTCAAGGGGAGGAAGTTAGTTGTCGAACTAACAAGCCAATCTGGAGTGACATAATTCCTGTAGGATTATAGATGGTATAAATGTTTAGGATAATGTATATATGTTTAAATACTAGAAGTGAAATACATTCTTCATTCTCAAAGAAACCAAATAAATGTTTTTGGATTTGTGAATTATGAATAGTATCAGTGCGGTTGGATTGTTATTTTAGTTTGGAACCGATAGTAAATTTCAAATGAAATAATTTTGGTGAAGCTATTAAAAATAATGTCGTTGTGGCGTCCTATTTGATGCCCAATTTTTTTTTTTAAACCTAAGACCACCTATTTGCGATGTGTACCCTATTGTCACAAACCCGTAGTAAATAGTATTTGCGATGCACTCAAAGCGTCGCATATAATTGACCAAACATTTACGACACTACGTTGTTGCGACGCATTATTGACCGTCGCAAGGCTGTCATTAAAGGGCTATTGCGATGCATTTGGCCACTTTTGCGACGCATTTTAAGCGTCCCATAAGACCCCTTTTTTTTTTTGTAGTGTTGCACTCCATATACTTCTGTTCATGGACAAACAGAAGAAGATTTGCATAGGTGGAACGGTTAATGGTTACATAAATTTTTTTCTGCTTGTTAAAATACTAACAAATTAACAATTGACATACAGCACTGGCTGGCTCAAGGTTTTTCCTGGTCACAGCACTTATATATTACATCTACCTCATCTATACACTAGGCACTAAGATTGCAGACGAAAATTACTAAAGCATCCGGATGCTGATCGGCATTCCCTCCTCTCTCTCTCTCCCTCTCCCTCTCCCTCCCCCCCTATACGTATACATAATCTGAGAAACTTTATAGATGTAAACTCTGACACTCCCCATAAATAAGTTTAAAGAAGCACCATTGTCACGCAAGATGCCCAAGAGACCACAAACCTAAAACTTAAAGCTGCCGGAGAAGGGAAACCATAAAACTTCCTCTTGTTCTCACACCTCCCAAATTTGTACGGATAAATGAGTCCTCCCGGGATTTTCATACAATTTGAATTGGCATGTGGTCACTGCTAGTATTATGCTGCATTTGTTTCTGGACAGCTTTCACCGCTGATACTCTAGCTGCATTTGCTGCCCTATTAGCTGCTGTTACGGCCCTGTTCACTCTTTCATCCACCTTTGCTACATCATAGGCTTTCTCGGACACTATTCTCGCTTCCTGATTGTAACACAGAATAACAAAACAGATTAACAACAAATCATTGGCTATTCATAGAGGTATAATAATTCTCAACCCATTTTCATGCTTCACGAAGAACGTCATTGCTGCAGAAACCAAGGATTATTTGAAGTGCAGAGTAATAGCGCTCCAAGTGTTTCTTTCAATGCTAACACATGAAAAACAATCATGCAAAAGTTCATTAAATACTATAGGTTTGAAATTGTGAGCTATAATGAATTTTAAGTCATGCTAATTATAATTTTTTCCTGGCTTCAGCAATCCTTCTTTAAATTGACACAACGTGACTATGGTGACACTAAAAACTCTATAGGTCTTGACCAACCATTCTGTTCAATGGGCTAAACGAACTAAGGGCACAAAAATGTCACACATCCGCTACTATTGCATTCCACAGAAAACATGCAGAGGGTTTACAGAAATATTTGAAGTAAGTAGTAAGTACCTGAACCGCATAAAGTACTTTGGAATGATTAACAGCCTATGGGAGATACAGGAGAAGTTGCATTCTGTGTGCTTGGAACATCAAGGATTCCATTTTGCCAGTGACCAGCTTGAGTTTCCCCATTTCTAAATGTGTACATACCAAGCCCTTGCCTTCTACCCTCATGCCAAGCTCCCTCATACCTATGCCCATTTGCAAATCGATAGACCCC